CCCGGCCCGTCTCGACCCTGGTTTTCAGGAACAAATTTTTCCTGTCTTTTCAAAAAACATTTTCGGGGTCAACTGAAAAAACGGAAGTAAAAAACTTTTTGAAGATAAAAGTGTCCATAAGAAATAGTTTTTTTCACAAAAAAAATTTGAAAATATGTCTGAAATTTCAAAAAAAACTTTCAAAAAAAACGGGCCGGGCCGAGGAGTAACGGGCCCTGGAAATCTTCGACCAGGCCCGCGGGCCGGGCCCTGATATTCCAATTAATTACATTGATAGCTTCTAAATGAGTAAAATAGTTTCGGAAAATTTTGAAATTTCTAAAAACTCAAAATTTCAGAAAAAATGACCTAGCACCCCAGATCTTGTATTAAGCTGGCATAAATGTTTGGCTTGTTATCAGAAACATTTTATCAGTTGAATTGGGATCCGGGGGTCCTCGGTCCTGGTTCCTGGAAAAAATTAGGTCATGGCCTAGAAAAAAATTAGGTCATGGCCTAGAAGAAAAACTAGATCATGGCCTAGAAAAAAAAACTAGGTCATGGCCTAGAAAAAAACTAGGTCATGGCATAGAAGAAAAACTAGATCATGGCCTAGAAAAAAAACTAGGTCATGGCCTAGAAAAAAAAAACTAGGTCATGGCCTAGAAAAAACTACGATCTAGTTTTTCCAGGTCCTAGGATCCAGGACCTAAGGTCCGGGCTCCTCGCTCTGAGCTCCCCTCTCTGTAGCCCAGAGAAGGCGAGAACTGATTCTTCCCTTAATTTCCATCTTCTTATATGGCATTCTTTCTGAGGTCAATGGGGCATCTAGGGTCGTGGGTTCCTGAATAAGTTTTTAATCACGTTTAATAATGGAAATCTGTGAACCTCCTTAAAAAGATCCCCGCTTTGACGCTAATTATCTCGGTTCCTGTTTGAGATATCAAAAGTTTGTCAACTAATTAAATGTTGCTGATTTCAAGACAATCATTTTTGCCATTTAAAGTTTTAAATATCTTCTACAAGAACCAAGATACATCGACTCAAAGCCAATCTCATATTTTCAGAGCGACTTTTCTCGAGTTTCAATAGTATCAAAAACTTTCAAGTCCCATAACTATGTCAGTTTTGTTTCAAGTTTGATAGAACTTATATATTTAGATTCAGCTTGAAAAAAGCTTCAAAATGAGTACAAACATGGCCAATTGAAAATTTGATTTGATTCTGTTTCCAAAGTGAGAAGTGATGAAACGAAAATATACCTTTTAATCAGTGCAGATCAAACGATTAATCGAATGTGGAAAACTTTAACACGAAAATGTTATTGGAGAAACAGTGAGAAATGGTATTAAAGGTGGGAGGACAGGAGATTTTTCGGAGGATTTTTGGAGCCAGGGTATGCATTCTACCGTGACGGTGTACAATGCTTAATGTCACTCTGCGTACAGCTACCATCCTCACCCTTATGTTTACCACAGGCCCGCTCCAGTAAATAACCATAAATACTCGCCCCGACAAGTTCAACTCCCCTAGGGGCCTATTTGAACGGAATTTCGAGAACATTATTTTTCTCATGTCCCCCACCTTTAAGATCGAAAATTTTAAAAATTTGAAGTTTTAGAGTTTTGGAAATTTTGAAAAAAGCGATTATTCTTCTATCAAAAATGTGAAAATCAGCAACACAGAAATGTAATCAAAGAAACAGTGAAATATGTAAAAATTGAAGCTATTATAACTTTGTCAGTTTTCCTCAAGAAATTAAAAAAAGTATAGTTTTCGATTTTGTTAGCTCATAGAGAGCTTCAAACGGTGTCAAAAATTGAATTTCCTTCGAAAACCTCAAATATTCTATTTTTAAAGTTTTACAATTCGTTTTTACAATCCGAAAAATCATATTTTTGAATAGTTTTTATCGAATGGCGAATCACGAAATAGCTAGTTTCCTAAACCCAATATTGATGCTTCGATAAATTTCAAACTTTCTGGGTTACTGTACTTTACCATAACAAAAAAAGGTTTAAAGGGGGACTCCGACCAGAAATTTTTATTGCATTAAAATGTGTTAAAATTTATCTATTTTTCAAATATTATTGCGAAAAAATTCAAAGAAAATCCGAAATCCCCGAAAAACGGCGTTGAAAAGGAAGAATATTCAAAAAAAGGTGC